TTGAACAGGGCTCAAGATTATGCTTTTAATAAGGCTCACCACACTCTCTGGTAGGGATTTGTGGCACTTAGCTGGTGGGAGTTCAGCCTCTCATCCTCCAAGGATACTCTTCCTTATGTGGCCTCTGCAGTAGAATGGCCTGGATTTTTTCCCACATAGTGGCTGCGTTCTGACAGAGTCAAATGAGCAAGAGAAAGCACCCAGAAACAGAAGCTAGGATCCTGTTACAACCTAGCATCTCATAATTTTTGTGTGTTATATTCATTACCTGTGAGTTCCCAGTATAGTCTGTACTAAGAAGAGTGTAGTCTACACTGCAGTGGAGGACATGATTCAGACTTTGTAGGAGAGAGTGATTATGGCCCACTGTGGCCAAAAATGGCATTTAAGTGGTGTAGCATGGAGCTGTTTACAGAAAGTTTCTTCCCGAGAAGCTAACAAATCTCATAAAGCCATGCTTGGATGTGTTAGTGGAACTTTGGCTGGGGCATCTGTGAGACCAGCTGTCTGGCTAGAATGCTGGGAGAAACTCCTGGGAATCTTACCTGTGAGTTGTTACAAAGTTAGCACAAAACTTCTGGCATGTTGTCTGCTGAGGGGACTGTGAGTCTTTCTGGGAAGTAGGATAGAGTGCCAACAGAATCTTTTAGGAAGTTGCTGGGAGGAGAACGGAGCACTTCTCAGCCTACGTACCACATAAGTGCTATAGCAGCAAGGTAAAAGAGGAAGCTCAGCAGAGCCAGGAAGAGAAGAGCAGAGAAACCCTCTTCTTGCAGTTTCTCCTTGGCATCCACTGACAGTGTTTCCCATCATCCCAGCTGGCAAAGGAGAAATATTTGCAGGCTCCAGCTCCAAAATCACAAAGCAGGGCAATGGAGGGTGGATTTGAAGCTGAGAGGCAGGCGGTAATCTGACAATTGGCATCTGAACTATGAAAGTACCTAGGTCTTTGATGATGCCATTTATTGGCAGGGAACCAAGGAGTTGTTTGGGGTAGGGTTAAGAATCCTTTTGAGAGTATAATTTTGAAATATGTAGGAAATGCTTAAGGAAGGATACTGACTATCTAAATAAATATACAAATCAGGCGTCTGGCCCAGGAGGAGCTAGTTGTAATAAATTGTACTGAGACAACTAGAAATAATATATATGAAAAATAAAAACCTCAACCCATTTTTATTTCTTGCTTTTTATTGTTTTAAAAGTTAATACATGGTTGTGATACAGAGTACATGCATTCATTGTGGGGAATTGGTACATATACATTTCACATGTTAGCCCTTTTGACTTCTCATTCCCTTTCTGTCCTTCTATCCCTCCATCCCTAGATCCCCTTCCCATCTGCAAAAGGTCTACCTCCCTGTCTCCTTCTGTCTGTCTTTTATTTTGCTCTTTAAATTATTTATGCTTTGTTTTCTCTTACAAGAGACATACTCTTCTGTGTGTGGTTTATTTCACCTAGCATTATGGTCTCAAAGTACATCTATTTTCCTACAAATGACTCAAATATAACCTTCCGTATGACCAAGTTGTACTCCACTGCATATACATTGTGTATATGTGTCTGTCCATCCAGCTGTTGATGGACGTGTAGGATGTTTCCGTGGCTTAGTTACTGTGAGTTGTACTACTATGACCATGAGTATGCCTGCATCACTGTAGTATCATGCTTTTAATTCTTTGAGAAAAATACCCAGAAGAGCTATAGGTGTCAGCCCGTATTTTGTACTTGTCTTAGTCTGTTTGCATTGCGATAACAATACCGAAGACTTGGTAATTTACAATGGACACTAATTTATTGACTCATTATGGTTCTGGAGGTTAGACATCTGGTGAGAGCTTTCTTGCTATAACTTGCTATGGTGGAAAGCAGAAGGGTGAGAGGGTGTGTTCAAAAGAGACAGAGAAAGTGGGGAGCCGAAGTGATTATTTTAAAAGGAATTTTAATGAGAACATTTGTAATGAGAGCATTAATCCATGCATGAGATCCATGCATCTCCCATTAGCCCTCACCTTCTAACAATGTTATACTGGGGATTAAGTTTTTAGCATATGTTATTTGGGAGAAACAGTCAAATGATAATATTCTGAGCTGGTCGCCTAAGTTCACATATAAAATTTTCACATATAAAATACAATCATTCATTCTCAACAAGCCCAATATTTTAACTTGTCCCAGCACAAACACACCAGAGTCCAGAGGCTTATCTAAATCAGATGTTGGTGAGACTCAAGGCATGATTCATTTGAGGCAAATACCCTTCCAAATGTGAGCCAAAATAAAATGTCATATAGGTATGGGTTAAATATTTCCATTCCTAAAGGAAGAAATAGGAAAGAAAAAAAGGATAACTGTTCCTAGTAAATCTAAAACCCACCAGGGCAAACAACATAAAATATTAAATCTGGAGAATTATCTTCGTTTACTCTTTGGGCCACCTTCCGGGCACTAGGGCAGGCCATTGCTCAGGTTCAGCCTATGCTGCAAGCTGCCATTAGTTGGAGTCTCCTAGCTGCTGCTCTACCAAGCTGGTGTGCACGTTGGCAGTTCTACAGTTCCGTGGCCTCAAAGGTGGCCCCGTGTTAATGGCCCTATTAGGCGTTGCCCTAGTGAGGACTTTCTGCTATGGTCCTGCCCTGTGACAAGTCCCTGCCTGAGCTTGCAGGCTTTTTCTTACATCCTTTGACATTCAGATGGAGGAAGTCAGGCCCTGTAGCTTTTGCATTCTGTGAACATCACATGGACGACATCAACGTTTTTGAGCTTATACCTTCTGGAGCAGTCTGAGCTGGGTTGAAGCACAGCTGGGGTGATGAAGAAGGGCTTCACCAGAAGGAAGGGAGAAGACTCTAGGGCCGTGAATGCTGAGGTCTTCTGAGTACCTCTCTGGAAATCTTACCTGCAAGGTCTTAGCTTACCTGAAGGTCCTCTGCACTGCCTTCAGGGTCATTCTCCATGGCCCTGGTGAGTACAACCTGGCTTCCTTCTATCTGTATCGATGAGCAAAAGGTCACTTGGCCATACCCTCAGTATTCTCCTTCAAATGTGTTTTTTTAAAATTTTTATATAGATAGGTTGAATATTTTCTTATTCTTTCCATCTGAATTATAAATTCTACATTTAAATCATTTGTTTCCTACTGCATTTTTTACTATATAATTATTAGAAGCCATGCAACATCTTGAATCCTCTACTGCTTAGACAATTTTTCTGCCAAATATCCTAATTATCACTTTTAAATTCTGCTTTCCATGAGGTCCTAGGACATAGACAGTTCAGCCAAATACTTTGCACTTTGTAATAAGAACAATCTTTACCCTAATTTCATTATACTGTTCCTCAGTAGAAGTTTCTCAACAGATTATATAAAAATGGCCAATGGGTATATGAAAATATGTTCATTGTTAATCATGAGGGAACTGCAAATAAAAAATTAAAATGAACTGTCACCTGAAACTGTAAGAATGGCTATTATCAAAAAGACTAAAGTACAACAAAGAGAACCCTTGTGCATTGTTGGTGGGAGTGTAGATGAATAAATTCATTATGGAAAATCCTATGAAAGTTCCTCAAAAATTAAAAATAAAACTGCCATATGATCCAGCGGTCCTACTACCTGGGTATGTATCCAAAGGAAATGAAGTCAGGTTGTCAAAGAGCTATTTGCACCTCCTTGTTCATTGTAGGACTTATTCACATTAATCAAGAAATGGAAACAACCTAAAGGTCCATCAGCTGATAAGTGGTAAAGAGATTGTGGTACACAGAAACAGTGGAATACTATTCTGCCATAAAAGGAATGAAACCTGTCATTTATGATAACATAGCTGGACTGAGATATTACTATGTTACACGAAATGAGGCAGGTACAGAAAAAGAAGAACCACATGATTTCACTCATGTATACATTATAAAGAAGTCAACCTTTGAAAAGTTGAAAGTAGAATGGTGATTACCAGAGACTAAGAATAGTGGGGAAGGAAGGATAAAGCGAGACAAAGTTACAATTAGACAGGCACCAGAAGTTCTGTGTGTATTATTGCAGGGTCAGGTGACTGTGGGTAACAGTTATGCTCTGTATATCTCAACCACTAGGAGAAAGGAGTTCGAATGGTTTATTTTCTGTGAAGAAATGATAAATATTTGAGCAGATAGGTATGTAATCTCATGGAATCACCAGGCAGTGTGTTCATGTGTCAAAACATCCTATGTCACCCTGCTAATATGCACAGTTTTTTATTTTGGTCCTACTTTAAAATGAATTTAAGTTGAACAAAGAAGAAATGCCAATTACCCTGATTTTAATATTGCAAATTATATTCGTCAATTTAATTGTCACACTTTCCTCCATAAACGTGCAATTATTACATGTCAATGAAAAATAAAACAAATAATGTGTCGTTTTCAATGAATATGTTTTCAGTGTTATACTACATATATTTTTATATAAAATATATGTAATTTTTGCATTATTAATTTAAAATTTGCTCTCGTACCATTTACTCCTGTACTGTTTTAAACCTTAATTTGCAGATAATGTGACTTCTTACAAATAGACACCATTCAATTGCAAGTTTTCTGACTTTTGTGATGGTTTTTCAGACTTAACTTTCTTTTCTTTTGATCAGATGAAAGGATGATCGTCCTATGCCAAAATGTCATTTACTAGAAATTTGGAAAGGATAACCTAAAAAATAAAAACGCAGTTCAAAAACTTTACCTTGTTGCAGTCAGCAGGGCTTTATTTCAGGTTTTTTATGAAATGATAAATCTCATTGTGTTCAAAGGTAAGTGCAGTGGCACAATGCGCACATAGTATGCCATTAATGAAGACAGGGCAGTGTGGAAGACCGGCACGTGGGGCACTTCGACAGAGGGAGGAGAAGCCAAAGCCTTCTGTGATGTGAAATAATAGTCACTGTGCACAATGTCAGAAGTTAGGGGATAATCCTAAGTCTGGAAAAACACACTAACGTATTGTTTGTTCTGTTACTTGTAGCTGACTTTGGCCTGGCAAAGCAAAAACAAGAAAACAGTAAGCTCACATCTGTTGTTGGAACAATCCTGTATTCTTGGTAAGGAGAATTGCCTTATGAGTCTCCATCATTGTATTGGACTTTCATTTTTACTCTTGGCTTGCAAAGAAAAGAGAATTTTAGGAAAGACAGACCTAAGTAATACATACAAAAGGAATTGTGGATCATTATGTGTGTTTTAAACAACTGCCACAAAAATTAATCTTTCTTCTCAGGTAGCTTTGCCCCTTTTGTAACTTCTGAATTGGGGGGACCCTTGGCACAGGATTGGCACGCAATGATGGCTAACTGGATCTGTGAATAAACTAGTAGAAGCTCTACCCAACCCAACAGTTGGGATTTTTTATTGCATCTACTTGTAGATACCTACCTCTTATTTTTTTCTACTTATAAACATTAAAGTCTAGGGAGAAGATTTTTATATCTTATTACCTCTCCTGGTCCCAGGAAAATAATACTTATTGAATAAATTTTATTTCATGGGTGAATAAATGATGATGTATATATTTAGACACATGTATACAAAGTGAGTTGCTCCTTGGGTAAATGTGTGAGGAACTGAGATTCTTGTAAGCTTAAAAAACATACTTTGAAGGTTCTTTTGCAAGCTATTATTATGAAGCAAGAATATTCTTTTGCTAACCACACACCATTTATCTCAATTTGTTGAAATGAGCTAGCAAATATGGTAGCATAATAGCAAATATCAGAAAAATATCCCAGCATCTGATTCAATGTGTCAAGCAATCAAGATACTTTCATTTTCTTTTTTAAAATTTGGCATATTGTTGTAAATTGAGTCCTGGGAATAGAACTGAAAATAAATCTCAAGAGAGGTTGGAAATTGTCTTGAAATAACAGCCCCATTTTACAAAGTTCTTTAATATATATTTATATATATTCAGAATAATCTTTGTAGAGGGTGATTAGCTTGGTTTATTTTACTAGAAATTTTTTACATTTTATATTAAAAACTAGTTTCCTGAGAAGACACTAAAAGATTGGTGGCCAAGCTAATATTCCTTGAAAACTACACGTTTACCTTTATATTTGACCTGTTAATAATAAGGCCCACCACTCATTACCTGCTGCTTTTAAATAAGTCTATCTTCCTTCACTTTGCATAGTTTTTCAGAAATAATGAAAAATTGATCACAAAAATGTTAACTGATAACATATTCCTGAACAGATTTGATTGTCAAAATTACAGAATGGATAAAATACAAGCTTAAATTTCAGTTTCTCATTTTTGGTATAAGCAGATTTTTATTGCCAAGTCTATGAGTCAAGTTCAGAATTGTTAATATGACACTTAGATGTGTGTTTGTGTAATAAATGTACAAACTTTGAAGGAAGAAATACAGAAGATTAGAAGGATTTTGCTTTCTTATCCCAAAGACATAGCCTTAATGTCTGTTAGCTTTTAAACTAACTGGAGAGTTAGAAAACTAAATCCTACTAATATGGGTAAGTTATTATTTCATGTAGTATCATAATTGTTTTAATAATGTGCAATGTGCAATATGTTTTATTAACATTCATCTTTCTATCAAGCCTTCACTCTTTTAAATTACTTTAAAAATTTTCTATTTATTTCTTTTCTTCCTCCTCTACCCTAGTTTCCAGAAATTCCTTATTCACTAGGTTTTATTGTGGAGTTGTGCTTGTATGTTTTCTTCCTAGTTTTTGATATCATGCACTTGATTTGTTTTTGTTTTGTTTTGTTTTTTCTTGGTACCGGGGACTGAACTCGGGTCCTTGCGCTTGCAAGGCAGGCCACTGAACCGCCGAGCTAAATCCCCGGCCCCGATATCGTCCTTGTATGAAATTAAAGAACTCAGTTCTAGATGATATTCTGTTACTGTTTCATCTTGAGCTTCTCCAAAACAGACATTAAGCAGCGATTCAAATGGAATTGCTTGTGAGAGATCCCAGGAATCACTAGGATGGGAGTAGGAAAGGGAGACAGTGAACGGATGGCAGCTACTACAGGGAGCATGAATCAGGCTTGTAGAGCACCGTATGATAACAGCCTTGGAAATGTTTTACAGTTGTCCTATTGTTGAATGAGAAATTGGAGTATTTTCTTCTCTGTCACAAATGAAAATCTTCATGTTTGGGCTAGGAAAGGCCCTCAGACAGGGAACCTATGGGCATTATTTGAGGTATTATGTTGCCAAATGAAAAATGAGTGGGAGGGGACCTGGCCAGGGTCCTCACATTGTCAGGCCTGTGATAATTCGAGTCTTAATTGTTTTAAATTTAAAATGTATCCTAATAAATTGTTTGATATGTCTAGTTTCTTTTGAATTTTCCAGATCCTCACTTTGGTGCCTTCTCTGAATTTTTAAATTGGAGAAAAATAAAATTGACGCCTTTCACAATCACTGTTCTGAGTCTTACACCTTGTGTTTCTCCCTAAATTGCCCCTTTACCCTAGACTGTGGTGGCAGTGTTGTCATGTGTGCTGCAGTGGGCACACAGAACCCCCTCTGCTGGTGCGTGAGCCCAGTGTGTGAGTTATATTTTCCAAACTGAAACCTCAGTGTTCAGCTTCAATTGCAGTGTTGCCATTTTGTGATAAATAAGTGGCTTTTGAGTTGCAGTTTGGGGACCTGATTTCTAAAAGGTTCACATGAAATCAACGCCCTGTAGAGCTTCCTTTCAAATTTTGTAATTTTTGCATGATTCTTTGGAGCTCTGAACCTACAAATGTGAATTTGTGATGCCATGGAGAACCTCTGTCCCTGTTCTCCAGGGTCCCCAAGTTGATGAATTTTATATTCCTATATAATTTCCTCCTTATTTTCTGCTTTGGTTCCTCTGGTACTCACTTATTTTAGAGAAGACACTTCCCTTTATCAACTCTTGTAGGAAGTTCTTCAGCGCATTTGTTATTCTTTATGCAGCCGCTAGATAAATGGTTTGCAGGGAATTGCTGGAATGATTGTGCCAGAACAGAAGGTCAGTAAAAGTTCCTTTTCTTCAGCTGATTTGATTCATTACTAGGGAAGTATTTGTGATCTTCTCAAGGAAAATAATCTCTTAATAAGGTCCTTGTTTCCGTTATTTTTATCTCTATATCTTACTCTAATTCCAGAGGGGGAAAAACAGCAGGCCATCTTCAACTATCGTTTCAGAGTAGATTTAGGATTTGAGTTTCTGGGAAACAGTTCATGCTAATTCTTCATGGAACATATATTTGTTATTTAACAATTGAGTATGATATAATGAAAATGGGAAAGTTTGGCTACTACTGGAATGAGACATTTTTTGAAACTGCACTGCTTATTATGATCCTATTCACATTATGACAATAGATAATTGGGGAAGCTTGTAAAGGTGTTATTGGGTAGATCAAAATAATCCTGTATGTAAACCTGGATAAGCTGCAACAAAGAGAAGCGTGCCTAACTGCACCTCTTAAGTTCTTAAGCTACATAGACTCGGAATTTAAAGTCTTAAGTGGCTTAAGACACTTCAGTTACTTTTGATTGCTTGTGTAAAGACCAAGTTCTCAGCATAACTACAAGCATGCAACCCTGCATATTCTGGTCTTTGCCAACTTCTCCAGCTTGATCTCAAGCCAGAGTTGACTGTAGTGATTCCGTCTGGGCCCTCTGACCACAGGGCCTCTTATACACCGTGCTGCTTCCTTTACCTGGAATACCCTTGTCTGGCTTGTCATCTGGTTCACTCTTTCCCTAGCCTTCAGCTCTCAACTAGACTGTAGCCTTCTCAGGTGAACCCCTGGACAAAGTATATTTCCTTTGGTTTATACATTCCATTCACTTTTCCTCCACATAGTTGAATATTTTATTTATTTTGTGATAGTTCACAATTATTTTGTTAACTACTGTCCCCAGCCCTGAATCAAATAATTTCACAAAAATATTTGCTACGTGAGTGATCCAGTACTTCTACGATTATGAAGAATACCCAAAATGATGTGCTATGAAGAAAATTGTTCCTTTTATTGTGCAAAATTGTGCTATCATCCCTCCCAGCCCCTCACCCCTCACTGTTTTTTCAGAGCGCCAAAATGATCACCTTTGGAATTCTGTTCTTCTCGTTTGCTTCTGAGTTTATTTCTTTCCTTCATTCTGATCTCTGCTTAAATGTCACTTGCATAGAGAACATCTCCCCGAACACCTGCCCAAAATAGCAACCTCCCTGCAGACTCAACTCCCATATCTTGCTTTAGTATTTCATGGCCCTTTTTTCTGCCTGATCTAATATTGTGCAGATGCTCCCCAACTTTGGGTGGTTTGACTTATAACTTTTTCACTTTATGATGGTGTGAAAGCAACATGCATTCAGTAGGAACTGTACTTGAATTTTAATCCTTTCCTGGACCATGGATGTGCAGTAAGGTGCCTCCCGGATGCTGGGCAGTGGCAGTGAGCCGCAGCTCCCAGTCAGCCATTGAGCACAAGTACTCCCTACTGTACTCTGTGGCCAAGCTATGATATTTGGTAGGTTAGGTGCATGAAATACATCTTTGACTTATGATTTCTTGCTATCAGGATATAACCCCTGTGGTAAGTAGAGGAGCATTTGCAGTTTAGTTGGTTTGTCAGGAGTGCCCCTCACTAAAACAAATACCAGAAGCATAGGATCTTTGCCTCTCTGGCTCTTCATGATTTCTCCGGGACCCAGAGGCTGATTGTCAGATTATAATTTATTGAAACAAGGTTTTTTTTTTGGCGGGGGGATCAAACTCAAGACCTTGCGCTTGTGAGGCATGCGGTGGAACCACTGAGCTAAATCCCTGGCCCAAGACAAGTATTTTTCTATGACTGATAAATTGACTCTGAGGGAACCTGCAAATGAACAGTTTTCAAAGATAAGAACATAACTGGAGTAAGAACATAGCACTGATAGGTAGGTCAGTAGGTCGTTGCTAAAATCAAAAGCTCTAGAATCAGAATGCCTGGGTTTAAAGTCGAGGTCTGTTGGTGAAGGTTATACATTACTGAACTCAATGCCTTAGTTTCTTTAGCTGCAATTTGGGATAATATGATTGCCCATGTCCTACG